TACAATTGGAAAAAGCACATCAGAAAAAGAAGACGCTCTGGGTGAAGAATGTTGCTAGTCAGTTGCAGGTATTGATGATGTACTCTGACAGCATCTGCAGTCGTAAAAGTATTTAGGTTCAAATATAGCTAACATGAGCCCATGAGAAGCACCTGATACTTGTCCTCGCAGAAATACTGTCTTAGCTGTTGTGTACATAAGGCGAGCGATCCACCGCTTGGTAGATATCTTCCTCTTTCCTATTGTGCATTTTATTTAACCCACACACACACATCTTTTTTTTTAGATTTATTTTTAAAAAAAAAAGGCAGAGGCAGAGAGAGAGAGAGAGAGAGAGAGAGAGAGGTCTTCCATCTGATGGTTCACTCCCCAGATGGCTGCAATGGCCAGAGCTGTGCCGATCCGAAGCCAGGAGCCAGGAGTTTCTTCTGGGTCTCCCACTCGGGTGCTGGGGCCCAAGTACTTGGGCCATCTTCTACTGCTTTCCCAGGCCATAGCAGAGAGCTGGATCGGAAGTAGAGCAGCTGGGTCTCGAACCGGCATCCATATGGGATACCGGCACTTCAGGCCAGGGTGTTAACCCACTGTTACACAGTGCCGGCCCCATAAAATATATCTTTTTTTTTTTTTGACAGGCAGAGTGGACAGTGAGAGAGAGAGACAGAGAGAAAGGTCTTCCTCTTGCCGTTGGTTCACCCTCCAATGGCAGCTGCGGCCAGTGCGCTGCGGCCGGCGCACCATGCTGATCCAAAGGCAGGAGCCAGGTGCTTCTCCTGGTCTCCCATGGGGTGTAGGGCCCAAGCACTTGGGCCATCCTCCACTGCACTCCCGGGCCAAAGCAGAGAGCTGGCCTGGAAGAGGGGCAACCGGGACAGAATCCGGTGCCCTGACCGGGACTAGAACCCGGTGTGCCGGCGCCGCAAGGTGGAGGATTAGCCTAGTGAGCCACGGCGCCGGCTCATAAAATATATCTTAAAAAAAAGAAAGAGGGGCTGACGCTGTGGCGCAGTGGGTTAAGGCCGTGGCCTAGAAGCGCTGGCATCCCATATGGGCACCAGTTTGAGACCCGGCTGCTCCACTTCCAATCCAGCTCTCTGCTATGGCCTGGGAAAGTAGTAGAAGTTGGCCCAAGTCTTGGGGCCCCTGCACCCGCGTGGGAGACCCAGAAGAAGCTCCTGGCTCCTGACTTTGGATTGGCACAGCTCTGGCCATTGCGGCCAACTGGGGAGTGAACCATCTGATGGAAGACTCTCTCTCTTTCTCTGTAACTCTTTCAAATAAATAAATAAATCTTTAAAAAAAAGAAAGGAAGGAAGGAAGGAAGGAAGGAAGGAAGGGAGGGAGGAAGGGAAGGGAGGGAGGGAGGGAGGGAGGGAGGGAGGGAGGATGGGAGGGAGGAAGGAAAGGAAAGAGAGGTAGATGGGGTCAGAATGTCATAATCCTACCTCAATCCAACCAATCCTCTGATGGTAAAGTATTAGTGGAACGTCACCAAAATACCCATTACAAATGGATGTTAAAATCCATCTGAACTTCCAAGGATTTACTTTAGCTTAGAGAACAATTTAAAGAAGCCAGTGTGAGAGGCTTAATTATCACTGAGCCCTACAAAAATCTCAAACTCCTCCAAGAGGATTTACGCTCTGAACTGCTGGAAAGGAATTTCATAATCTCTAACAGTATATCCTCAGAGTCCAAGTCTTCAGATACTTCAGCCCATCCATCAACATTCTCTTTACTGTTCAAGCTGCCAACAAGGAGATCAGGTAACTCACAAACGCACCATGCACTCAGCAAAATGCAATTTTATTGCCACAATAGGCCCACAATACTTAAAAAAGTCATGTGTTAGAAAAATTAACTAAGGGTCTCCTGTGGGCTGAAGGATATCAATAAGCACCCTTTTGTGGGTGAACTATTTGGTAGAATGAGATTTTATATTTCTAGATATATTTAGTAGACTGTTTTAACAAGCATTCAGGATGAAAGTTTGGTAATAATTATATGGTAGCTAAAGTAATATGTCTACATGATTTAATTTTATTGTTTTCAGGCACATTTTACTTAATTTGGATCACTCTGGAAATAAACACAGTCTTTGCTATACTCATAAAGGCCTCAACATGCAGCCCTACAGGGATTCCTAAGGGACATTTTAACTACAGAAAAGCTCTTCATTAAATTTCATATTTAAAAGGGAAAGCATACTTACCAATGATACTAAGAGTTATATCTTATTATCCTGCTTTCAGATAAAAGCCCTTCTCAAAAGGAAGACCCATGTGGACTAATAGAAATATTAAATATATTGAACATATAATGGAGATTTTGGGGGCTTGCACTGTGGCACAGCAGGTTAAACCACTGCCTACAGTGCTAGCAACCCATAAGGGTGCTGGTTTGTGTTCTGGCTGTTCCACTTCTGATCCAGCTCCCTGCTAATGGACTGGGAAAGAAACGGAAGATGGCACAAGTACTTGGGACCCTGCACCCACATGGGAGACCTGGATGAAGCTCCTGGCTTCTGCCTTTGGCCTGGCCCAACTCCAGCTGATGTTGCCATTTGAGGAGTGAACCAGTGGATGGGAGATCTCTCCTGTTTGTCTCTCCCTCTCTCTCTCTAACTCTTCCTTTCAAATAAAATAAATAGATCTTTTAAAAATGGAAATTTAAATTTTCTCCTAAAAGAAACCATAGTTCAGATCTATTGCCTTAGAGGAGGGATGCTACTTTTAGACACTACTTGACTCAGTTCTTCTCTATGGCTGTCATTGTTCAGAAATCATACACAGATGTGCCTTCTACACTGTAGGCTATTTTCTCAGCAGGAAGGCCAAAAAACTTGGAAGTGAAAATATGATGAAGATAGCAAAATCCTTAGTCTAATGCTAGACAAACCAGAATTTAGTTTATAGCTATACAAGGACAGTAAGTCAACAATAAGAGTCTGAGAAACCTTTCTATATCCTACTAGAAATCATGGTTTTTAAAATATGGGTACTCTGCTCATTAATAAATTTGAGTTCATTGCACAGATTTTATGAGAATATTAGACTGTCGTCAAACTCTCATTAATCTCTACAAAACTGCCATGAAAGGATCAAAGATGTCTGTATGCCCTAATACACACCTACAAAACTCCTTGGAAAGGAAGAGATGGGTTATAATTTCAGTATGTACTATTTTGGAATACCGACACAAACATTCTCAGGTAATAAACTATTAGATAACATAAATGAGTATTAAATCAGCTATAGATATAGCAGCTCTTTTGACATAAAACTAAGGCTTAGGGGTCAGCATTGTGGCATAGCAGGTTAAGCTACCACCTAGATACCGCCATCTTATGTGGGCACCAGTTTGAGACCTGGCTGCTCCACTTCTGATCCAGCTTCCTGCTAGTGCGCCTGGGAAAAGCAGTGAAACTTGGCCCAACAGGTTGGGCCCCTGCACCCACATGGGAGATCCAGAAGAAGCTCTGGGTTCCTGGCTTTGGCCTGATCCAGCCCTGGCCATTGTAGCCACTTGGGGAGTGAATGAGTAGATGGAAGATCTCTTTCTCTCTCTTTCTTTGTAATTTTGTCTTTGGATAGTGAGAGAGAGAGATAGAGAGAAAGGTCTTCCTTTGCCGTTGGTTCACCCTCCAATGGCCAGCGCGGCCGGCGCGCTGCAGCCGGTGCACTGCGCTGATCCGATGGCAGGAGCCAGGTACTCATCCTGGTCTCCTATGCGGGTGCAGGGCCTAAGCACTTGGGCCATCCTCCACTGCACTCCCTGGCCACAGCAGAGAGCTGGCCTGGAAGAGGGGCAACCGGGACAGAATCCGGCGCCCCAACCGGGACTAGAACCCGGTGTGCCGGCGCCACAAGGTGGAGGATTAGCCTAGTGAGCCGCGGCGCCGGCCTGTAACTTTGTCTTTCAAAAAGTAAGGCTTAAAGTACTCAGTCACATGGAAAGAAATAACACCAGTCTCTATGGGTTTTTGTTTCATTTTTTTTAAAGATTTACTTATTTATTTAAAAGGCAGATTTACAGATAGGTATAGGCAGAGAGAGAGAGAGAAAAAGAGGTCTTCCATCTGCTGGTTCACTCCCCAAATGGGCACAATGGCCAGAGCTGCACTGATCTGAAGCTGGGAGCCAGGAGCTTCTTCTGGGTCTCCCATGTGGGTGCAGGAGCCCAAGGACTTGGGCTACCTTCTACTGCTTTCCGAGGCCATAGCAGAGAGCTGCATCAGAAGTGGAGCAGTCAGGACTCGAACCAGTGCCCATATGGGATGCCAGCACTGCAGGAGGCGGTTTTACCTGGCCCCTCTACATGTTTTAATGCAGTGGACAATGTCAATAATTCTAAAACTTAAACTCTGGGATTATAAACTCTTATACACTATTTATAGGTAACTAATATATAAAATGAAAAATCACAGCAATAAAACAGCAAACATAAGAACTGTCGTGAATATATAAAAATGTTTGCCATTTTAAGACTGAATGGCTTTCTCTTTTTAAGCTCAATAAAGAAACTGCCTCATGTTTACTTAAAAGGAGTTCCCTTGCCAAGTCTGATTTAACAAGAAGTTGATACTCATCAATATGAATATAATTTTTCATACTGAAATATAGATTTATTTTGAGGAAATTGGATAATATTTGAATTATATTTTATAGTTCCATCTGGTCCTTATTTATTTAAATTTTACTCAGCTTGCATAACATTTTTGCTTATGGTCATATTCGTTAAGATCAGCAAATGTCCAAATCTGGAAATTCAGAGGTACTATTCGTTAACATTCTTTTGGTGTGATTCATAGACTTTTTGCAAAATCTGCTTTGATTTTAAAATAAAATGAAGGTAATAAGATGTTTTGTATAAAAATATATGACTTAAGCAATAACGATAAAAGGAGCTAGGCTTTGGGGGATTACCCGCCAAAGCCAACCACACGCCTCATGAAACAGACTGCACAAAGTTCATGTGAAGGGGAACAGCAAAATAAAACACTTAATCAAAGGTAAAATGGTTTTCTATTCTGCTTACTTTAAAAATACCCACTGGTTTAAATGGCTGGAGTCCTACATTTAAATTGGCAAATACAATGGGTAAATGACAGTGTGCAACATGACGAATTTAAGTGAGGCCCCTTCAGACCCAACATGTGGATACAACCAAAGGACAGGTATTCTTTTTTATTTATTGTTTTAAATGATTTACCTACTTGTTTATTTGAAAGGCAGAGTGATACAGACAGGGAGACACACACACAGATACACACACACACAGATATATCCTTCATCCTCTAGCTCTCTCCTCAAATGGCCACAATAGCCACATTCAGCTCCTGGGCCAGGCCAAAGCCAGGAGCCAGAACTCCATCTGGGCCTCCCGTGTGGGTGGCATGGGCCCAAGCACTAGGGCAGTCTGCTGCTTTCCCAAGCTCAACAGCAGGAGTTGGATTACAAGTAGAATAACTGGGACTTGTACCAGGGCTCCAATAACGGGGTGCCAGTGTCACAAGTAGTGGCTTAATCTGCTAAGCCACAATGCCAGCTCCAGGATAAGTACTCTTCACTGCAATTTCTAGATAGAAGAACTCTGCCACATGGTATCCAGGTGGGAGAAACCTTCTACCTTGATACTTTTTGCTACAGAACTTCTCATTAATAAGAATGTAGTAAATGAGTACTAAGTTGGGGCTGGTGCTGTGGTGTAGTGGGTAAAGCTGCCTGTTGCCTGCAGTGCCGGCATCCCATATGGGCACTGGTTCAAGTCCTGGCTGCTTTACTTCCAATCCAGCTCTCTGCTGTGGCCTGGGAAAGCAGTAGAAGATGGCCCAAGTCCTTGGGCCCCTGCACCTATGTGGGAGACCTGGAAGAAGCTCCTGACTTCAGATCGGTGTAGCTCTGGCCATTGCAGCCATCTGGGGAGTGAACCAGCGGATGCAAGACCTCTCTCTCTGCCCCTCCTTCTCGCTCTGTGTAACTCTGCCTTTCAAATAAACAAACAAATAAATAAATAAAATTAGTACTAAATCAGGAGGGAGGTGAATAAAAGGAAGACCTGAAACTTGGGGAGAAAATGACAAGATTCTAAATTTGACCCTTCCAGGTCTTTTTATTATTAAGAATATTTAAATTTAATAAATCTATCCTGGGAATCCACTGACTGCCCTTATTTATAATAGAATGGTACCTAGAACGTAAAGACAAAACCAGTGCCCTAATCTGACTGTTTCTCCTGCTGAAGAAACAGATTTACCTCCAGGCATAAAAGAATAATGTAAGTATGGAAACTAGAGCTGCTATTTCTAGATTTTCCTTTCAAAAATGTACTCACCAATTTCCATAAAACAAAGAAAACTGTCACAATAATTAGGCCTTATTCTTTTATTTATTTATTTATTTATTTTGACAGGCAGAGTGGACAGTGAGAGAGAGAGACAGAGAGAAAGGTCTTCCTTTTCCGTTGGTTCACCACTCAATGGCCACTGCGGCCGGCGCACCGCGCTGATCCGAAACCAGGAGCCAGGTGCTTCTCCTGGTCTCCCATGGGGTGCAGGGCCCAAGGACTCAGGCCATCTTCCACTGCACTCCCGGGCCATAGCAGAGAGCTGGCCTGGAAGAGGGGCAACCGGGACAGAATCCAGCGCCCCGACCGGGACTAGAACCCGGTGTGCCAGTGCCACTAGGCGGAGGATTAGCCTATTGAGCTGCGGCACCAGCAGAGGCCTTATTCTCTAGCTTAAAAACT